GACATAATGACTTATCAATAATTCCATAATAATCGAATTTTTCACTACTAAATTCTCTATATATATCAGGATATCGACCTAGTATTTTATTACGAAAATAAGCGCGGTCATAGGTCAGATTAGACGATACACTTGCATGATCTATAGATGGAATCTTATTTTCTGGTAATATATTATTAGATAAAGCACTTACCTCAATTTTTGGTGAGACTTTCTCAGTAAGAGGTTTCGGGACTATCATATCGGCTCGTGTTGAGGTAGGTGATATACTAATATTGCCTTTCGAATTGGGAGAATCAGAGACATAAGATACAGACGATTCGCTTGCCTTGGTTTCAGCAGTTATATGACTCTGATCGTGAATTTTATTTAATAGTACATGATTTATAATATTTTGAATTTGGGAATAAGAAAGGTAGAAATTGCATTTGCACTATATGAAACTTGTTTAATCTTTCTACTCCTACTGCATTAAAAAGTGTTTTTATTTTTCTGGCTCTAAGAAGTTTTTGATGCAGATTCACATCTGTGATTTCAGGGAGAAGCCGTTTTACTTCATCATATACTATACTCATTGCTTTTTTCTTACCAACTTTCTTATCAGCAGAAACTTTATCTGCTCTTTTGTCATATTTTTCCGCAAAATAGTGCCAATATGAAATGGCATTTTGACTTGATCAAATGGCTTCTCGAAACATATAAACTATGCTTTGCGTTGAAACTGAAGATGGATCGAGAATCTGTGAATCTGTATCTCCAACCAATATTTCTTTATTTTTAGCTGTGCTGGCTCCGCCAATAATCACAGAAAGCTGTTGCATTAACTCTTGTTCAACAATCAAATTTTTCTCTAGAAGGAGAATAAGTTCATCACTCTGTTCAGATTCACTAAGTGTAACAAAACTGGATCTGATAGCAACAGTTGATAGATCCGAATTCTGAACAAGTTTTCCGTGAATTTTATTCACGCAAATTTCATCACATGTTTTTTCTTTAGTAAACTTCTTCTCCCTGTTCTTCTGTTTTATCTTATTACTAACCCTTTTCTTATCCTCTGAATCTAGGAATTTGTCGATCTCTATATCTTCCGATGATTTAGATTCTATGGTGATTGTTGATGCAGAACATCAACGTTTACTAGTGCATTCGTGCCGAGTCTTGCCATGAAGTGGCGATACCTCTACACTTGACTCCTGGTTTACATCAGATCTAATTACATCCGCTATAGACAGACAAGGTCTGATAGTTGTATCAACTATCTGTTTGGGAGTATTGACTTGGCACGAATGTGCTAGCTCACGTTGAGAATTATTATTAATACTTTGGTACTACTTCTCGATTTTATCAACGGCTCGTTCTAGCTTAATGATTTTGGCTTTAAACTCAGCATTTTCTTCTATGATCTGTTTTAATTTTGTATTCTCGTGTTTAAGCTCCACATTCTTAGCCTTAACCTCAGCATTCTCATCTTCGAGCTCAGTGATACGTTGTTTTAACAAATCTAATTCAGATTGCATATTCGATAATAGTTTTTTTATATATGCATAATTTTATTCAAAATAAAAAAATTACGTGTACATAAAGAATCTTCACACCGATCACTTTTTTTGCAAGAAAAATTCTCGATCATACGTGGACATCGATATATATACAATGTAATAAAATCCAAAAATATACATGCAAACTAAACACGGTTATGTATGCGAAATCGAGCCACGAGGGCCAGCTTTATTATTGATTTATAATTGCCAAATAAAATGTTGAAATAAATATATTACACAAAATCGTAAAAATGTGATTATACTATAGTATTTTGATAATAATATTACATGCTAAGAATAACAAATATTGGATTGCCTATACTAAAATTATTCGATCCACTCCTTTTATTAAAGAAATATATCTATTAGATCAATTTGCGACAATTTTGTTGCCCAAAATGTCTGATTTAACATAGCTATATCGTGGTTTTTCGTGACTAGTTTCCCATCTTCTGCTTCATATGGCCATTTAATACTAACATGGTTCATAAAATAAGAATAACGTGCGAAACCAACCTTCCCAAACCATTCAAAATCGATCAATTTCACATCAAATTCATTATTTTCAAGTTGGCGAACTAGAATATTCCCTTCACGTAAGTCCCCATGTACATGCTCTGAATCATGCAAATATTTAACTACTATTTTAATTTTTTTTTTTAAATCATCTCGTTCTTGATTATTAAGATTAATGGCGATGTGACTTAGCATTGAATGGTTGTCTAAACGTTCCATATAAACCAAAAGCCAATTTCCAGGAATAACTGAAGTAGCAAAAACTTTTGAAGCATATTCAGCATCAGCTAAAAGCTGATGTGTGTTAAGCGAATATTGATGCTTTTGAACAGCTCTCACGTAGGCTATGCAATATATTTCCTGTACATCTAAAATTCTAACTTTCTAAAGAAGAAAAACACCAACTTGGGGATCAGAATCAAACTGAACGCTATATCGTTTGCCGTTTATAACTATATCAGGAAATGATGAATGCACAGGGTGGGCAGTTCGAGGGATGTCTTGAGCTAATTCATCAACATGTTTATAGTGTTCTTCAAGAAGTTTGAGAGATTTCTTTAAAGCACGAAATGTTCTAGAAATTGATACCATCATTTCATTATCTTTTTGCCAAATAAGAGGATATATTGGAGTAAGCAAGTCAATTATAGCAATATCTGAAAGCACAGTACCGGAAACAGAAAAGTAAGGCCCTAAATTGCAATCAAAGTCACTCACAAATTCATACAAAAATATGTCAAATTGAATTTACTACTATACCTGCAATTGTAACTAAAAAGCATGGAAAATTAGTCACATGAAAAGAATGTTCTTTTTCTTTTTCCTTGCAGAAATTTAAAAAATATCCACAATTTTCGAGATATAAGGAGGCATTGGAGCAACAGTCCTCCCACTTAAATTCCATATTAAGCCCACAATACACAAAGGAATAGCTTATAGTGCCATCAGTACGGCGACTACGAAGAAGTACAAGTGGTTGCATCTCATAGCCAAAATAAGTGGATAACATTTTATTTGCAATAGTTTGACGTTCTTCTTCGCTCTTAAAAAAATCTGCCATTTTTTTACATATATTATAGATAAAATGATTATCCTCAACTTTTGGGGCTTCCTCACAGAAATCCTTAAATTTGCCAAAAATCGAACAATGTAAGCTAACAGGTACAGTACTAGATACATATGGTGGATGGTGATTAAGACATATAGGTCTAATTGTCTGTAGCTTATAAAATTCATCAGGTTCTCCAAGTTTCGATGATGTTAGTAAAAGACCTAGCATTTCCATATATGATCTTTTAACACCTGCAAAGCAAGATTGCATTAGTTCAGCTCATTTTCGAGCAATTGATAATTGAACTATTATACCTCTTCTTATATCAGATATCCTGACTGGATTATCAATCGAACATTTTTGTTTTTCAATAAAATCAATCAAATACTCTTTTGACCAGCCAAATTTTATATTTTTACTATTAATAATAAACTCATGATTTTGTAATGGACTATCGAGATCGAAAAGACTTTTCAAACAGGCATATAGTTGATAAAAATCTCCCAACTATCGGAACGAAGACTCATGATTTCTGAATCAAGGTACTGGAAATATATAACTAAAAATAAATACAGAATATTGGTCAACGTAAACGATATACCAAACTTTCTCAATTAAAAAAGTGAGAAAACAGTAATAAATTTGGAGATATTCGTAATACTTACCTTCCTCTTTAACCTTAGACGTCTGTAATATTGCTAGCCTTTCTCTCAATTCTTGCATCTCCTGATTTGATGCAGTCGTAGCTATATAGCAGGAAAAAAACCAAGTTAATAAATGAAATTATTGCAGAGAAAGCAGTATAGGTTTGGAATATAAATCAGAGACTCGACACTTTGTGTCTTCAAATACAGTCGTGGTACTACTTACCCTGTCCTTCGCCTTTGATTGTTTTGATTAATCTCATGATTTTTTTTGCCTATCCACCTGGCACTTTCCATCTTTCAAGATTTTCTTGGCTCAAGTCGAGAAATTCTGTACCATCGACATCTTGACTACTAAAAACATCGAAGTCACTTTCTTCAAGCCTTAAGTTTTGTCCCCTCAAAAATTCAATTATCTCATTTGGTCTTGTCCAGCTTTCTACTTCGTTGACTGTAGAAAGAGAAATTTTTCTCTAGCAGAAGTAGACATGGTTATTTACATATTTAGTTTTTGTGATAGGATGAAAAATTTTTTTTAGTAAGAAATAGTCGTACATTCTACCTTTTTATAGTTTATACTAACAATCAGATTCGTACAACAGATCACACATTGTTACATGATAAAATGACAATACTGATATTGTATTTTTTCGAAATAAATTTTAATAAATCACAAAAGTGGGTTACGGTCCCTTGCAGAATTTTTATTTGATTGTTATCCAAGTGTATAGAAACAAAAAATGAAAAACTATTATTCCTGAAGAGATGTGACTTTGATATCACAGTAAGGTTACATGAATTCTGATCATCACATTTCGTGACGGAAATTTATTTTTATCTATTAATTATTCGAAGATATAATAGATAAGTGATGGTAAAGCTTTCACTTATCTCTTCTTTCCTTAAAAAATTTTCACATTCACATCACTTATATATTCCATTCACTACTTTTTTGCATCTTTTGCAATATAGGTGTGAATAGTGATTGCATTCATCACAAACATTACACCCATGCTTCCAACCTCCAAAGATATACCACTTTTTAAAGTAATTTTGTTTATCTCTACTTGTAAATGTGTTATTCTGACCTTTCATTGTTATATATTGACAGAAAAAATATAACGTGGCTAAAACTTTTATTATAC